GAGAGAGAGAGAGAGTCGATGGAAAGAATAGCACCGCTATACCATAAATATCGGCGGAAAGGATCACCCCCGCGTGTCAAACTCGGACGGTCGATGTAGTATCGGCCAACCCTCATGGTGTGTGCGTATCCCACTGGCGAACAGCAGCGAGCCCTTCACTCTTACTTTTGCTACGTTGCGTATCCGCCGGGCTGGGCGCTCGGTGCCGCGCCGCCGCCGCCGATGCATAAGCGCATGTGACCGAGTTTCGGCGGAATATGATCGACCGCGCGAAACTCGGTCAAAGACCACCGACACCTTTCCGCGAGTCCGTCTGTGTGCCGGGATACCGGCACGATCCGCGCGAAATTCCCTCTCGTCGCGGGCCCGTGAAGACGATCGTTTGTTCACGCCGCCCGCGCCCTTCCACGCGCCAATTTGCGTCTCGCGCTCTCGCTAGAAATCTCGCTCCAAGAGAGATTATTCCGTCGTTTCCGCCTCACTGCGAAACGGAGCCCCCGCAGCGGAAATGCGATCCTTTACGCCATTAGCGTGAAGGAAGATCTTGTCCATTAACGACGTGGATATCCAGTGTCGATTTAATTAGTATCACAAATAAGGCTTTCTGTTAAATTATATATATATATATACATCGTGCGTTATAGTAGAAATATTTTCTACCAAATATATAAAATATTTTTATGTGAGGAAAATTAGAAACATAGATTTATTGAAATTATTAATTTTTAATAAATCTGCTATGTTAGATTATATATTATGTCATTTTCAGATTTTATATCTGATATTGATATTAAAAGAAATCGTTCGGGAATCGGCGTTTATTTGATTTTTGTTTTTGTTGCAGATAAAAATCGACCGACTCGAAGACTAGACTATGTTATTTCGGATAACGGATTGATCGCACCCGTCGCTTCATTTACACGTGAGTATGCGTTTCTCGAGAGGGTGGTGGCCCCCCCATTTGCAGGAATAGCTCGTTCATTCGGCGACGTTACCTACTAATAACTTTCACGATCTCTCGATGCCAAGAATTACTAATTGAAATATTAGAAAGAAATAGTAATTATGTTTTTATTATACAAATTTGAACATATGACGTTATCCTTCAGATTATTTCTTTCATTGTTTAACATTTGCAATTTTATCACGGACAATGGAAGGAAAAAACTTTGATAATACACAATATGATTCCGCAAAGCGGTGCGATTATTTGTCATGTTTGTCGTCATTTCGACGCACCGAGATTACGATATCTTCGTTCTTATCGCAGCGCTTGCTCGATTCCTCTTAGGTCGGACATGAAAAATCTTGGTTCGCGTTGGACGGTCCCCGACATAGCACGCACTGCCGCAGCGCGTTCGTCATTTCTCGTCGCCATTTCGTTGGAACGAGATTCAGGTAGCAGCAGCAGCAGCAGCAGCAGCAGCAGCAAGAGCAGTATCCGCAACAACAGGAACAAAATTAGAAGTAGCGGTAGCACCAGCGATAACAACGGCATCAGCAGCAATAGCAGCATCAGCAACAGCAGCAACAGCAGCAGCAGCAGTACTCGCGTGACGGCGATCGACAAGAAGAGAGAGAGCAAGAACAGCGGCAGATCGGCAATCGACGTGCTGCACGGATCGCCCTTATCCGTCCGACCGTACGTAACGGCGTCGTGTGACCGCATCGTCGGCACGACGCACCCGGAATCGACGACGCCCAGGAACCGGCCGGTAGCCGGCAAGTCGCGCCGCTTTCAGCACCGGACCCGTCGTCCCCATCAGCCGCAGCAGCAACTTTACTACCCCCCCGCGTCGTGGGACACGCGCACACTACACTTCAGGAATTGTTAGCACCGATCAAAAGTGAGTCCGGTTTGCGATAGAAGCAAAGCTCGCCTTGGATATCCTTTAGTTAAAACCAACCGTGGTCCAACCGTGGTTTCCTCGATCAATTGATAAAAACTTTTTTCCACTAGTCAATTGGACGCTTCGAAGTATTTACAGCGCGGAATGAACTGCCTTAGTTTTACATCAGTTTTACCTATTTTTTTTTTTTTTTTTTTTTACGAATCCCATTGCCATCAATCTTTGATCTTTGACAAAGTGAATAATATGGAGAAATCGATTCTGTTATATCGAATAATAATTTTGATTTACATCGGTCCATCAGTATTGTTCTTATCGATATATCAATTTTTTTTTTTTTTTTAGTGTTTTCACATCTTTCTTTCGCCTGCTCATTTTATGCTTTTCACTGATTTCGCGACTCGTGCTCGCAGGAAGGTGGCTCAGCTGTGCGCAGCCTAGACAATGTCCGAAGATTCTGACTCTATATCAGAGGAAGAAAGAAGTTTGTTCCGTCCGTTCACGCGGGAGTCCCTGGCAGCGATCGAGGCTCGCATCGCCGAGGAACAGGCCAGGCAGAGGGAGCTTCAGCAGAGAAGAGCGGAAGGCGAGGTACGGAACGCGGCCGTAATGCGCTCGTCGCACGATCGCGATTATTTCTAATCTCTTCTCTTCGCGCATCAACTACACATCGATACATAATTCGTCATATGCGTATATTTCGTAGGAACACCCCTTAAGTAGCGCCAAATAAATTACGTGATCGTTTCCACGACGATCGTGTGTCCAGGTATTCCGATCCTTCCCGATTATTTCATGAGGGAGTCTCGAAGATATACTCGTTTCAATTTGTAAAAAGATCATAATTTCGAAAGAAATATGCTTTGCGTTTCGTTGTACATATGCTTATTGTTCTCCAAACTTGTACCGCTATTTCGAGATTGTTGTTACCCGTTGTATGATTTTTCAGTTAGTCATACATTGATTAACGCTAGCGGGTATATTTATCTGACGCTGCTAATTTTCATGCCAAGCTCGATTGTGCGATCAGATAATTTCCCTGTGTAATTACTGTCCTTTCTGTACATATACGTACATAGACGTTCATACCAGACGAGTAACGTAATAATAAAGATTTACGAGTTTTAACATAAAAAATATAATATTTTCCTAATGTTTTATGAAAATCCTGTTGCACGACAGGTTATCTTAGAGCTTGGAAAAAATTCGGTTCTATGACCGGTAGCCATTGCGCTAAATAAACATTTTGCATTAAATACCACTCATACTTAAGATTTTGTCACGTAATGTTCATTCTTATATATAAATAATTTTTATCAAGTTTTTCCTTGCAAAATGTTTTATCGAAGAAAAATTATTTTAATTAACAAAGTTTAAAACAAGTACGTATTCAAGTAAAACAAATAGAGAATAAATACAAATATGAAATAATTTTTTTAAAAACATTAGAAACAGTGGGACAAACAATAATATCGCACCTGTCATGTGCATTTCATAAACAATTTATTTAAATAAACAATTTATTTAAATAAACAAACAATGAAATTAAGATGCACTTTTAGATCGCATTCAACTTAAATATTTTTGTTCCCTATAAAGGATATACATTGTTTAACACGTCCTATGAGAGATGCAGCTTTTTTTTTATCGATCGGTCTTAAGTATGAGCTGTCTTATCGTTAATTTTTCTATGCCTAGCTGTAGCGCCCTGTTTGCGAAACCCTTTCCCATTCATTCTTTTTACATATGTCAAATTGCAACCACGAGTTCACTTGTTCCCCTTATCCACTCGACTGTCCCCGTTGATTGTTCGCTTGATCTATCGCCATCGTAGAGAGGATGTAACCTATCTTTCTCTACCGACGACTACTTAAATCCATTTGTTTATACATATCTCTGTCGTCGGGTAATGTATTGTGTGTGTTACGAAAGATATGTCACGTACGAAGCTCGATGTCTGCAATGTTACTTATCTCTCTGTGCCTACTTATACATATATAC